TTAACTTAGCCTTTTAAAAAGAAATATAGTGGCGATAAATCAGGGCTATAGGAGGGCCAAAAAATCCATCTTAAAAAGATTCAGAAAGCTTCTTACGATGACTCGATTGTCTTAGTGACTTCTCAGTAAGTCCAGGATGAACTTGGAGGAGTTTTATGCTGCTAAACCATTTGTCTTGGATCCAGTAATCGTGATAGGCATCAGGAATGAGCCTCATTCTCAAGAATTCTAAATAGCGTTCAGATTCAGTGTCTGAACAAAAACATACGGACCCAAACATGCCATCAGCTCTAGCCACGCCAGGCAGTGCCCTTTTGTGGATGAAGAAGCTTGACAACGAGAAATTACGGCTTCTTTCTGTCCCAAATCCGATAATTTTGAACACTGTCATGGTAATTCAACCAGAATTGTGCTTCATTCCAAAAATCGATATCAGCATAGTTGAAACCAGTGTTGATCTTTTCGCACATGATGTTGGCGAGTTGCAGTATTTTTCAATATCATCTGGGCCAAGAGATTGTCATAAATGAAATTTTTAAAGGAAAATGAATTTTTTAAAGTTGAAGAGAAAATATAATGTTTTGCTTCATGCATAATAGGAATATGTACTGTTACCATAAATTATTTGTTAGAAAATAAATATATAAATTTATTTTGCTACAAGATAAAGGGGATAACAACATCTTGCTCTTTCATCTGTGCCTCACTGCAAGCAAATAAACTTTTTAAATAGCCAACTTGTCACTCACTTGCTTGTTGCGTACGTCTCTTCAGAAGGGCTAGGATTTCCAGTCATACGCTGCGCAGTACCAGATAATGAATAAAATTCTGAGTAAATTCGCTGATAAGCCTATTAAGCTTGCAACCTGCAAGTAATACAAACAGCAGACTTTGCAACCTTACAGACCAGAACCTTTCCAGCTGATATTCTTTAGACTTTGCTTCTGTGGTATATTTGAAAATCAGGAAGCTCAGAATGGAATCGGATTTAAAAACGCGATTTACGTGTTAAAAGTAATTTGAAACTATATTAAATTAATTTCATAGCTATTAAAATACCTGAAACACACGAAGTTTTAAGCAGCTAAGAATAATTTAAAAAATGAGCATCTTGTTAGATTTTTGAAATCGTGTAAAATAACTGAATTAATTTTCATAATTTCGAAAATTTCTTTTATCTATTGTGTCTTTCGCTTCATCCTTTGGCCGTTTCCTTTTCTTCACAGAACAAATTAAAATTATATTTATTATTAGAATTGTTACTATGTGTTCGGCTTTAAACTAGAGTAATATATGTAATAGCAAATCCTTACTTAATGCTTCTCCTTGTAACTTTTATTATTTGTTAATTAAGAAGATTTTGCGTTTATTTTGCGATCGTTTTATTTTCCATTTTTTGTGCTATTAGTAATTTTAAATTTCATTTTCGTCTATAGTAAAATTGAGTAAATGTGTCAGCTATTTAAACTCACTTTTAAATTATTCAAAGTCTTCGAGCAGGCATCTCTAAAGTATCACAACCCTAAAACTTCTAAACCCAATCTAAAAACACTATAACTACTCTACCTAACTCTAAATCAACTCTAAAACCGTGAAGTTGTTTGTTAAAGATATATAGTACAGTAAGCTATATAGTTTTAATTTCCTTTTGTTCCGTTTCCTTATTAAAAGACGAGAGCAACGAAAGAAAGTGCTAAGAACTAAAACTTCTATGTTGAACGCAGATAATTATATTTCATTACAAATACTGATTTTTTAGGAAAATAAATTAGTTAGGCAATTCCATTAACCATTTGTCAAAGTTTACATAATGTGAGTTACTGGCAATAGATGAAACGACTGACGAAAATGCAATATACTAACTAACGAATACAATATGGTTCATTAAGATGTTTAACGTTCATATTTTTAGCAATTTTGTATTAAGGTTAATTAAACATTAGATATTATATACAAATTATGCAGTTTCAATATTTATTAATTGTTCTGTTTTATTTCTATATCGGTATCTAAAGGTAAATACCGACACAAAAACAGACAGGTGAAAACGAAACTAACTAAATAACTACCAAGTTGAAAATAAACTCTTAAGGGCTAGTTAATTTCAAAATTTTAGTGATCGTACAAGTGAAATTGCGTTGTGTTTTTTACGCATGCGGGACCGTGCCGTGAGAGGATCGGATAACAAGAGGTAAATACAATATATATAAGGAAACACATAAATAGATATAAAGAAAAACACAAAAATAGGTTTCCAGATTAAAATACAAGTTTATTAAGATTCCTCAAATATTTTAATTAAATTTCACATTCTAGATAATCAATACTTAATTTCTTATTTCAGTTACACATGTGAACTAATAAATTTATATCATTTACACGTTCAAATTAAGGATTTACAAATTTCTTTTTTTAATTAACTAATGAATTTAGTTTCAGAATTCACTTTATGACCCATTTAATTTAACTTTAACCAAATCTGCTGCAGTAAGTTCTAGGATGGTCAAAAAAACACATTACTTTCTTCAGGTATACGTCTGAAATTCGACATCTATACTAAGGATAATATCACAAAAACAAACTATATTTTTATACTATAATTAACTTATTAACATTTTCCATTTTAGTCTCTGTAAAGAAAGAAATAGGAAGGGAGCAAATTTTCAGGCATTTAGAGTTGAATTGGAGATTCAATATGACGTATAAAGTCCTAAAGAATATTTAGGTATTTCCTTAAAGTTCATAGGATTAAATGAAAACACAGGAAAAAACTTATCTTTAAGTACACATCTTGAAGAGGGCTCGGAATTGACTTGGCGAGATCTTGCATCCCCGGTAAACCTTATCATCCGGAAGAGTGGTACTGAAGACTGATTTAACTTATCTTTTTCGGATTTCCTGTCGAAGTTCAAAATACGATTCTTTCAACATCCTTACATTTTCGCTTCCACTATCCCAACAGTGGAGAACGTCTACAAGTGGTTTCCATCGAAGAAAATTTTTCCCACTGGAAGGCAGGAGAAGAGCTTGCGCCGCACGGCTGTCGGAATAGAATCTACGTTCAACAAGTGAAAACGTAGACTATTAAGCCAGTTATTTAAGAGAATGGCTGACGCAGGTTTTCATTCGTCTACGGTAACAAAATTCCTTCCTTCGGTTTCAAGTCGAAGTTCAGAGGACATCGTCCTGGATTTAGCAGATCCAAAAAAAAAAAAAAAAAAAAAAACCAAAGTCTCTGTTAATTTTTTATTATTCGCTCAACAGTTTAGTCTATCGCCACTCAATATCCTCTTCTCACAATTTTAGCTAAAACACGCGGCCGGGGAGCATAATTGCCGCTCCCCGCCGGAAGCACTGCTCGAAGACGAACTACATGTCGTTTCTTTTTCTCTCTCTCATCCCAAGAGTAAGTTCAAAGTCTAAGTGTTAGACATAAAGTCCACTCAAAGAATGATTCAAACTCGACTTTCTTCGTCTCCTTCACAAACACGGGCTCCCATAGTGACTTCATTTATCGCCTCCCTGTTTGGGACTAAATTTGCGTTTCTTCCCCTCAATGACCAAAATAAGGTTAATCACACATGCGCGCCCTTCTTCACTTAGCCAACACCGGACACCCAGGTCGCCAACCAAGATGACTTACATCGAAAGTGAAGTGGCAACCTCTGACCTTTCCGTCACGCACATCCTGCCCAAAAGGTCAGTTTCACAAAACAAAATGTGTTCTATAACTTTCCAAGGGAAAAAACAACCCGCGAAAACCATGACTTAGCAAAATCGCCTCCCTTCCCGAATTCTTTTCACAATGAACTGAAGCTAGGACAAAAATTTTAAATAAAACGAAAATAAATAATATTCTTAGAAGCTAAATAATATTCTTAGTAGCATCTGTTTTTCTCCAAAATTAAAGCATTAAAATAATAATTCAGAATTAAATAAAATTAAGATTTTCTTAAATCAGAAAAAAAATTCACCTGGTTTTTATAACGCGATCAAACAATTATGTACACAACAGTTCTAAAACGGAGTATTATATAATGGATTTCAGTGTATACACCAGAAGAATTGCAGAACGTAAATTCCTGATATTTTGCATTATATTTTGTAATCTGAATTTTTATCTAATCAAAGCTTTCTTAAGGATTGAATTTGCTCCTGATCCAAAACCATTTATATAAACTGAATAGTAATTTTAAACTATTCAGTTTATTAAAAAGTGGAAAAATAAACTCGCGAAATATTTAAAAACTTTTAATTGAGAGTAATTAAATTTGTTTTTTTAAAGATTAATTGAGTGAAATTATTTTAATCACCTTAATTCTTAACACTTTTTAAAATTTCTCTCAGAATAAAATTTGTCAAGTAATTACTTCGTTTTTTAACCATAAAACTCAGTATGTTCCCAGTTCCAAATTTGGAGAATGTTTTACGACGAAAGTTAATCTTTCGAAAATTTTTCCCCTCTAGAAACTATCAAGAAAATTCCTGTTCGGAACGTAGAATTAATTATGGATTAAATGAGTAGAAATTATGTTTATAGAAAGTTTGACTAAAGTTCTAGAGAACAAAACAGAATTTAGTTTATTCTTTATTTAAGTGCGCCTTTTTTCAAGTGTGCAATGAGACAGCAGAATAAAAAACGTTTTTTCTATCTTCCATTCTATTTTCAGAATGTGAAAATTCCTTTATATTTGCACTCTTGTGTGCTACATTTATTCTGCACTTAAAGAAGTTTAGAAATTCAATTCAACTCTTTGCTGTATATGCCTTCTGAATAATTTATTTTTACATGTATAAATAAACACATTTCTAGTATTTCTTGAAACTATTTGCTTTCATAGCCTGTGAGACTTGTGCAGTTAGTTTTAATAGGTCATTATTTTAAGAATTTTATGTTTTTTAATAATCTGTAGAAGTTCTTAATTCATTAGTTCATAACGCTGAAAAGAGATATTAATAAATGCAAGCTTAAGTTTCAAATGTATTTTTATCGTTTTCAGAACAGCGTCATGTCCAGAAGGCGAGCATAAAGTGTTCAATCATTGTTTGTGTGAGCACAGAGAAGACGAACAATTAAAGCATTTCACAACAGGTAATATAACCTTTTATTTACAATCACTTTTTCTCATGAACATAACGTTTCAAATTTGTACCGAAAATTTAACAAACTGAGTCAATCCTCATATACTAAATTCTCCATTAATTTTTCAATTAATCTAATTATTAACATCAGCGTGCGAAAAATTTAGATTTGCGTGAACTTCATTTCCCTTGATTTTTTGACAAACAAAATTATCAAAACATGCATGGTTAAAATATAGAATATTTTTTTCTGTTTAGTAAACTACATATAATAATTAAAACACATATAATTTTTTCTTTAAGAATGTTTTCTATGCGTGCCACACGTTAAACGATTTGGATAACTCTTCATGATGTACATATTCTACAAGTTGAGTAATGTATAAATGCAGTTATACAGTTTCTTAAAATATCCTATCACTAGGCAAAGCTGTGTTAAAAGGCAAAGCGTGTTGTCAACGAACGTTTCTAAAAATTTACAAAATCTCCAGTATGCTGAAATTGTTCCTAAGTGATTAATCATTTTATTCAGTAGATACGTACGTTTATCTGTAAATTGTTATCCTAAGAAACTGTACATTAAAAATTTAAAAAATCTGAAAGCTTTCGTATTTTATGTTACGCCCAAAGGGGTCTTTTTTCCTTTACACAGTCATATACGTCTCGTGAGCATTTGGGCTAAGAATATTTAGAAACAGCATATTTCTAGAATTTCCGGTAGACAGTCATGCGCGCTGGAGAGAAAAATGTTTTGTTCCCTAGTGTTGCCACTACTCACTTTGAAATCTTCGAGCTTGTTAATCATTAAGCTTAAAATCGTTAAGCTTTATAAAATACGAAATAGATAATAAAATAAATTCTAAATCGAAATTTCGTTCTTCCAGTTGGACATATTGAAGTGGAGAAATGCGTTATTCAGAATTTGACGGCTCTAGGTACCGTTGATTTTAACAATTCAAGAAACGTACATACATCACACAGATCCTTCATTATTTAATTTCCTTAAATATAATATAGGGCGATAATATTTGATGGAAAAAATTTAAAAAGTGAAACGGATATTTGTACTGAACCGACGCAAAATGCCATTTCGAGAATAATAGCCCCTCTGGACTAAAACACTGTGGAGTCTTGAAGTCTTTTATGGGGATGGAAAGAGAATAGTATTTCAAAAATGTTAAATTCTTAAACATCCTTTGGTGGCAAACTGTGTATTAATGACTAAGCTTTGTGCTACTATGTATCAACAGCAACTGTTAGATAACTCAGCGCGCTCAAGCACTTTTAGTTGATCTCCTCACTTGAAAAATGTAATTGAATTGGCGTTAGCGATGAGTAATTATAATTTAATCACAAGGTTTTCCTCTTTAAGAAGAGGTATTATAGAGAAAATATCTTCATTGTATAGATAATTTCAAAGCTGATAGTTTGTATATTTACAGTTACTTATAAATTTTATTTTTAAACTTTGAAAGCAATCTTCCTTTATAATATTCTTTCTTCTCAGTTTCTCGCATACTTAAAAATTTCATGATTTTTATTTTCTTAACGTTGTATCGACTGTTAAACTTTGAAAGCAATCTTCCTTTATAATATTCTTTCTTCTCAGTTTCTCGCATACTTATAAATTTCCTGATTTTTATTTTCTTAACGTTGTATCGAATGCCTGTGCAGTTTACAAATATAATATTTAGATATTTTTTTTCCTAAGCTTCCGGAAATGCAACCTAAGAAAGAAAGACATAGATGTATACATTTTATTGAACCAAAATAGGTTAAAACATGAAAAGCTTTAAAAAAAAAATCTGATGTGGAAATTACATGACTCTCTTGTACGGCCTATTATATTATACACAATTTTTGCTGCATTAATAAGCTGATATAAAATATTTACAAGAAACTTATATTAAGTACTGTTGATATTTATTGCTAGACTAACTACATAATAATCTTTTTTTTTTAATTGACAGTGCCAAAACATGAATATTATCCTCATTTAAAACACTTCTCTAACTAAACGTATATAACTACGACCAACGATTGCCAAAATAAAGGCTAGGTTAAACGTGGATATGTTTGGTAATGCCGATTGTAATAAAAAAGGAGGTGCAAAATTACATGTTATATCAGTCCCACATACAAAATTTCAACATTGTACGGCTAATAGTTTTTTGAGTTATGCGAGATACATACTTAGATGTATACGTACGTGCCTAAGACGTCAAGAAAAAAAATCTCTCGTGATTCAATTTTAAATCCATTTTACAATCGTTTTGGAGAAAAGAGGCCTTTATTCTGTCCGTCCATATATTGCACCATTTCACCAGTACGAAATCCAACCAGACCTAGGCCATTTAGAAATCCATACACGGTTATTATGTTCTCTTTCGTGAGAGGCCATCTCGGGAGGCTGAAGCACCCAAAGACCACCCTTATAATTGTTTTTAATATATAGTAATCAACACAGCCCGAGACACACTTGACAGTCCCTGTCGAGCCTGAGCGGATCACCGTAGAAACTGTGTTTCTTGTCTTCTGAATGCAGCTTATCTCCAACGTATTTGTTCTCTCTCAACATGTTCATGCGTAGAGAAGTCAAGCAAAAATATAGTCAAAAAAGAATTCGGGATCGGTCAAAACTGACATTTCCTTCGAAATATGACACCCGAAATTTTTCGAAAAATAAAAGGTAAAAAAGTAAATAGCAAAAACGTAAGACGGAATTTGTAAAATAATAAAATGTTACTTACAGCTTATACAGTTTGAGTTTTTCTAATAATTGTCCATTGCTGCTCGTAATAACAATGCGAAATTTTAATATTTCTCTAAAGACGTGGCTTTGGACTTAAAAAAGTGTTTATAGAGATGTACGGGATATAAATTTGAAATAAAATATTATCTACCACGTTTACAAGTCCTCATGTATTTCACTATAACACTCGCAAATGACAGTCTTCCTTATTTATTTTTAAAGGTACATCGTTGATAGATCAGAACGACAGTATGAAATCATCTATTGCCTTAGAGATCATCCAATGAACATAAAGCAGCGTCTTACCTAAAACTGAATATTGACGAATATTTTGCGCGTTTGATAGTAGTTTGTTATTTGATTAGTTGTTAGTTTGATTTTTAGTTTAGACTAGTTAGTTAGTTAGTTCCTTTGTTTCGTTTAACAGTTTGATTCTTTACAATAATTGTTAATGTCTGTCTATAATAACACTTGTAAAGTGTATTAAAATGTCGTCTGGAGTACCTATAAATGTAGCCCAAACATATTAACTGGCATGAGATGCTGGCATGTATCCTCCTACATATGAGTAAAAGTACTAAAATATATGTAACGCTCAAGAATATACAATTAATTATTACATTGATTAGTTTTAGGTGTTTAAGATTGCACTAAATTTACGAGAAACTGTGGTTTATTGTTAGAAACGAATTTCCAGATCAAGCAAATTTAAAAAGCAAATCAAGTAAATTGTTTAACGAAATACACAGCAATATTATGAGTACCGTAATTCATTATAATCACTTTCCCTGGCTCACTAAATAACATGCAACTTTCTAAAATACTTTTTTTCTTAAATTTGATTTTACAAGAAAAGGAACGGAAAAAATCCCCTATAAAGGAAACGAGTACAATATTTCTGGAACGCTTTCTATCAGACCTTTTACGGTAGAAACGATTATTCATGTAGTATGCGATCAATCTCTAACCTGAAAAAGGCGTAACGAAATATTGATTTCCGTTTTGAAATTATATGACTATCGTGTGTATACAATGTATTTTAATTTTAAAATTTTTTGGCTAGTAATATATTTAATTTATTATGAGTAATACATGATAGCATTTGCATCCTGATTTATTTCTAGCTGATGTTAAATAGTTAAGAAACCAAAACTCTACGAATAAATAGTTTATGAAACACAAAAGAATGACTAATATCTTTTCATTTTTTACGTAAATAATAAAACTGGTTAAAATTCCCATCTGTTTTTCGTCTTTTAAGTCTTTATGTAAATTAATAGGTCGCATTTTACTAGGTTGCATTGTTGTCTGTAGTATTAATATTCGCAGGAAATTAGGAAGTTTATCACTCAGCATAATATGAAATGTTATCTAGGTACCCACGCAAGAGTTGAAATTATTCTAACATTTTCCTCTCCCTATAAAGAAGAGATCGTTATGCTGCCTTATTAGAGGATATTTAATTATTAAAGCGAATATTTGTTTCAGCATCTTTAGGAGAAAACCTGAATACCCAATTATCGTGATTATCAGAGGATGTTCTGCTGTCGCTGATCCCAATGAAATCCTAAGAAATTTAAGGAAAAGATATTCCTGTAAAGAAAGTTGCCTTGTTCTTTAGTAAGAAATCTGCAATTTCTGAGATGCTACTTGTCGTTTTTGCAAAAGTGCATCGCTCGTATATGGGAAGGTAGGTTTGTCGTCTCAAGCCTATTTCTGGACTTATCATCAATTTCCAGAAGCATAAGCCAGGAATATTTCCTCGGATATGCTTTCAATACCATCGATTCAGCCTCAGGCAGATTAGATGCAACAATAAACCAAGATGTTACATGTGCGAGTAAAACCATCTGACTTAAATTTGAAAACTTCCAAAGGGCGAAAAGTGGGTGAGATGTGGTTTTGATCACTTAGCTTCTTCAAAGTATTCTAAATTCTGGGAGCTTAAATTCAGCTTCCCAGAAAGAACGCTTTTTAAACTGAGAGAAACGTAATAAAGATGATGTTTCGGTACATGGTAAAAATTCTGAAAGCAGGAGATGACTGTGCATTATTTTGTCGAACTGAGTCGACGTCGTTAAGAAGATGCTTGAAGGTTTTGGACTTATAAATCTCATTAGAGTTACTATGCCATTACCAGCCATTTTAAAAGGTCTAACTCTTCATTGAAACTGCACTTTTCATATTGAAATTTCTTGAAAAGTTGGAAATGAATCTATTTTAGCAAGAAGTTCAATTCATAACGATGATTTGTCAGA